GTATTAAAATGCAAGCTCTTATGATTTATACAAGTAAGTGCAATATTACGTTATGATGTTTTATTCATATTACGTTTAATTAATATGTTTTATTCATAACACAGCTGTTAGTTGGACCCCCTGTGCTACAATGAGCTTTACATGGCGCTTGCCGTATTTATCAACAAACTGACGTATAATTATAAAGTATATATATACATATTAAGTATACTTTATAACTATACGTCAGTTAGTCGACAGTGCAATCTGATGGCAATTTAATATAAGCTACATTTGCAATATATTTCGCTAATTTGCGATTATTTTCTAATTTTACTGCAGTTTTAATTTAAATTCAGCCGTTCAGTGGGCCGGCTATAATTGTAGTTGTGATCGTTATAAAATATATCAACAACAATAGTATGATCTAATTAGCACCAGCCAATCAAATGACAGATTTAAAAAAATCGTTTGTCTAATCGGCCAATCAGCGCTCAGTCCAGATTCTGGACTGAATAACCAGGCAAAATTAGAAAATTAAACGAGACTTACCTGTAAGGTGAAGTTTGATTGAGATTCTACGAGTTATTGGTTAGGAGCGAAGGAGTCACGTGTGAGATAGCGCGGGAAGGATCGAGCGGCAGTCTTTAAAGGGAGTGCGAATGGTCATTGATATTTAGTACCCGCTGTAAAGCCGTAGGGCTGGGTAAAACCGTAGGGTGGGTCCGTGACTCCTTCGCTCCTAACCAATAACTCGTAGAATCTCAATCAAACTTCACCTTACAGGTAAGTCTCGTTTAATTTTCTAATTCTACTTCGTCATTGGTTAGTTCGCTACGGAGTCACGTGTGAGACTTTAAAGTAATGACCATGAGCACTGTAACTTTGCTTTAATAACACAATATCAACACGATACATGCTTAATCAAGGTTAACAATTTCTAAGAGTCTATGACCAAAATTTTCTTTTTGATCACTTTCAATTGGTTTATGATGAAACTGGTTTATGTGGTTTCTGGTAACTCAAAAGTAGTTGTTTATATGAAAGGACCACATGTCATCACTATTAACCATCTGTTTAATGTTCAAGACCTGTATGGTCTGGCAACGCTGTCCAGTAACAAGGGCAAGCAGCATGGTTGTCTTCATAGTCAGATCTTGTAGAGAGAGTTGTGTATTTTCACCCAAAGATTTGAGATATTTTATAACCACAGACACATCCCAGATCTGTTTATAACGTGGTAGTGCTGGTCTATTTACAAATACTCCTTGTATATATCTGGTTACCAGTGGATGGTTTCCAAATGTGAAATTGTCTATTGGTTGGACAACGCTGGATAGAGCTGAGCGTACCGTGTTTAATGTGCTATAGGATAATCCTTCCTTGTAAAATTCATGTAGAAAATCAATTGCAGTCCCTACATTTGGAGAAATGGGATTGATACTTCGTTCACAACAGTGCTGTTCCCACTTTTGTAAATAGTATTTGTACTGTTTTTGAGTCCCCGGTCTCCATGCTTGTACGATGATTGAAGCAGCTTCTTTTGAAATTCCTTGACTTTCAAGAATCCCCCGATAAGTGGCACATCAGTAATCGCAACTTCTTTTGTAGAGGATGTATCTTCTGAGGATGGGATGGTAACATCAGTGTTGTTGTGTGCTAGGCAACATAAGGGGACAATTTATTAACATATTGGTTAGATATGGCCACCAGGACTGGGTCGGCCAGTGTGGAATTACTATTATGCCTGTTGCCTTCTCTTCTGATATTTTTTGTAATACTTGGTTGATAATGCAAAAAGGTGGGAATGCATAAAAACACATGTTTACCCAAGAGATATGAAAGGCATTTATGGCTTGAGCCTCAGGGTCAGGTCTGAATGCAACATAAGGCTTGCATTTATAGTTTAGCCTTAAGGCAAACAGATCAATACTGGGTGTCACATCCAGTAATTGGATTGCTTGATCATACACTGCTTGGTCTAGGGCCCACTTAGTATCATTGGTACCCCTCCTCGATTCAAAATCAGCTGCAATCACATTTTGTTTTCCTGGGATATGTGCTACAGTAATCCAATTGTTATTTGTAATGCAAAAATCCCATATCTCTTTTACTAAGAGATTTTTCTCCTTGGAGTGACTAGTCCCCATATGATTTATACAGCAGACTGCTGTTGTGTTGTCCGATAGGATTTTTACATACTTCTGACAAATCTGATCTACAAATGATTTTAGACTGAGTAATATGGCTTTAACTTCCAGCCATTTAATGTGTTTCTTGATTCTCCAGAGTCCCATGAGCCACCGGTAGGTGTGCCAGCTAGGGAGCAACCCCAACCCGTTTTTGAGGCATCTGTGGTCATGGTTGTGTCAGCTTGTCCGTGACTAACCACATTGTATGCACTTTCAATTGAGCTTACCTACCAGCTCAGCTCGTGCTTAGCCTCATCTGAAAGAGTCATGGTCTTATTAGAATTGCCTTTTCTTATTTTCAGGGCCACAGTTTTTCCATATCTAAGTGCCTATAATGTAATGGCCCAAACATTACTCCTGGGAAGCTAGCTGTTAACATGCCAATGACTCCAGCCACTTCCCGTATTGTAGGTTGAGGAGATTGTAGAAGCTTTTGACAAGCTTCCTTAATTTTTTGTGTTTTTTCTCCTGTAAGGCTGATAATCATTTTTATGGAGTCTAACAGAAAACCTAGGAATACAAGTTTCTGAGTAGGGTATAGGATTGATTTCTCAAGGTGTATAACAAGGCCCACTTGGTCAAGTAATGTAATAGTATCTTTCACATTTTTAACACACAGATTAAAGTTGGCACCTTGTAAATAAGAGTCATCTATGAATATTACAGATAGATGACCTATGCTTCTCAAGTTTGAGAAGACAGGTTTAAGGAGTTTTGTGAACTTCCTAGGGCAAATTGCCAATCCATTTTGGAAAACATGTATACTGATATAGTTTCCCTCGCCATTGAAATTTCGGGTGTTTTTGATGGTCTTTGTGAATCGGGACAGAGCAGTATGCGTCCTTAAGATCAATGGATGCCATAAAGCATCCCAGACGCATCATACGTATAGCAGTCCAGATTGTGTCCATTTTAAAATGTTGGTACGTAACAGATTGGTTTAAACATTTTAGGTTTAAAATCATGCGATGTGATCCATCCTTCTTAGGTCGAAGGAATATGGGTGAAATGTATTCATTAGGCTCATGTGTAGATTCTACAATGACACCTTTTTTCAACAAGTTTTGGATTTCAGAATCGATAAACTGTCCTTGTTGTAATTTGGCTATACAGGTAAATTTAATTGTACTGGGTTCTTGTTAAACTCTATGCGTTGACCAGACACTGTCTCCAGAATTTCTGGATCAGATGTCAATTCTTTCCAAGCAAAATAAGAAGTACTAAGCTGGCCCGCCTTAAAATTGGCAACCTTGTGTTCAAAGTGTTTAATAAGCGATGGCACGAGAGACTCGTATTCGCTTACCTGTATTTGTGAAAGTTTTTTAATTGCTTCTGAGTCTATTTCTTCATTGGCCCGAAACGAGCTCGGTTCTGACCACGCCTGTTGTTGTTCTCCAGTCGTCTGTACGACTGGGCTCCTCGCCATAAAAAAGGAGGCTGTTTGTTGCCATAATTGCTCGTACTTGGCTTATAAATCCGGTGTTGACTCGGCGCGTGTGATGATGGATTTGTTGTATTTCCAATTTTGTTTGTTGCCCGAATACGGGTCAATTCTGTCTGGAGGTCGTCTCCAAACAGTAAGCTTGTCACAGGAACTTCTTGTGAGCATAGCTCAATATAATCCCTGTGAAGGTGAGGTCTGATGATTTCGCGCCTTCTTTGGGCTAGCTCATGGCTAGCATGACTAACCAGAGCAACAGCATCTGTGTTCATTCGCACTAGGTCATCAATTTTTAGACTTTTTGGGTCAGATTTTGCTTTCAACAGCATATCTGTAGCTTGCACTACAAGGTTAGTGACTGTGCCAAGCTGGGTTTGTACACGAAAGAGCTTGTGATCCTCGCCACGAACAGCCCTTGTTAATTTAGCCCATATTTCAGGGTTTACGCGTGGGCTCACAACTTTGTCGCAGTTCGCTGGTCGCGGGTATTTTTCGGCCTTTTCTTTTAGCTGGTCGTCACTTAATTTATGATTCCAGCGTTTGT